AGGGATGGTTTAAAATCTACAAATCAATCAACATGATATACCACATTAACAAAATGAAGCATAAAAACCATATAATCACCATAATAAATGCCGAAAAGGCATTTGACAGAATTCAGTATCTGTTCATGATAAAAACTTTGAACAAGGGGTCCCTGGGTGGCTCAGTCAGTTGAGCGTTTGACTCTTGATTTCAACTCAGGTCATGATCTCATGGTTCATGAGACCGAGCCCTGTGTCAGGCTCTGCCCTGAGAGCACAGAACCTTCTTGAGATTCTCTCTTTTCCTCTCTCTCTTAAAATAAATAAACATCAAAAAAAAAAAAAAAAAAAAACTTTAAACAAAAGTGGGTTTGGAAGGAATATACCTCAACATGATAAAGGCCACATATGACAAACCCGCAGCTAACATTATAATCATTGGTGAAAAGCTAAAAGCTTTTCCTCTAAGATCAGGAACAAGACAAAGATGTCCACTTTTGCCATTTTTATTCAGCATAGTACTGGAAATCCTAGCTGCAGATTCAGAAAAGAAAAAGAAAAGGCATCCAAATTGATAAGGAAGGAGTAAAACTGTCTCTATTTGCAGATGACATAATGCTATATATAGAAAACCCTGAAGATGCCACCAACAAAACTGTTAGAACTAATAAATGAATTCAGTAAAGCTGTAGGATACAAAATTAATATGCAGAAATCTATTGCAGTTCTATATACTAGCAACAACGTAGCAGAAGAGAAATTAAGAAAACCATCCCATTTATAGTTGCATCAAAGAAAAGTAAAATACTTTGGAATAAATTTAACCAAGAAGGAAAAAATACCTATACTCTGAAAACTATAAGACATTGATGAAAGAAATTGAAGACAACACAAACAAATGGAAAGATGTATCATGTCCGTGAATTGGAAGACTTAATATTGTTAAAATGTCTGTACTACCAAAGCAGTCTACATTGAGATTCGGTGCAGTCCCTATCAAAATACCAATAGTATTTTTCATAAAACTAGAACAAATAATCCTGAAATTTGTGTGGAACCTGAAAGATCCCAAAGAGCCAAACGAATCTTAAGGCCAAACCTGGAAGTATCAGAATCCCAGATTTTAAGATACGGTACCAGCACAAAAATAGACACATAGATCAATGAAACAGAATAGAAAGCCCAGAAATACCCACCCATATATCATCAACTAATCTACAACAAAGGAGGCAAGAATATAAATGGAGAAAAAATAATCTCTTCAATAGATGGTATTGAGAATATTAGACACCTACATGTGTCTAAAGAAAGAAACTGGAAAAAAAAAAAAAAAGGAAACTGGACCACTTAAAAATAAACCCTAAATGGATTATAGACCTAAATGTAAGACCTGAAACCATAAAATCCGTTAAAGAAAACACAGGCAATAATCTTTTGGACATTGGCCTTAGCAACATTTTTCTAGATGTGACTCCTCAGGCAAGGGAAACAAAAGCAATATTGGGACTACATCAAACTAAAAAGCTTTTGCACAGCAAGGAAATCACCAACAAAATAAATAGGTAACCTACTGAATGGGAGAAGATATTCACAAGCAGTATATCTGATAAGGGCTTAATATCCAAAATAGAAAGAACCATACAACTGGACACCAAAAAAACCCCACACATCATCCAATTTTAAAACGGGCAGAGGACCTGAGTAGACTTGTTCCAAATGCTACAAATCACTAATCATCAGGGAAATGCAAATCAAAACTATAATGAAGTAACACCATTCAGAGTGGCTAATCAAAAAGACAAGAAGTAAAAATTAAAAACTCAATTTGAAAAAGACCAGAAATAACAAGTATTGATGGGGATGTGGGAAAAAAGGGAACCCTTGTGTACTGTTGGTGGGAATTTTAATTGGTACAGCTACCCTGGAAAACAGTATGGAAGTTCCTCAAAAACTAGAAATACCATATAGTCCAGTAATTCCACTGCTGGGTATTTACCCCAAGAAAATGAAAACATGAACTTGAAAAGATACATGCATCCCTATGTTTATTGCAGCATTATTTACAATAAGCAAAATATGGAAGTAGCCTAAGTGTCCATTGATAGATGAATAGATAAAGAAGATGTGGGGTGTGTGTGTGTGCGTGCACATGTGCACAATGGAGTATTATTCAGCCATAAAGAAGAATGAAATCTTATTCATGACAACATGATGGACCTAGAGAGTATTATGCTAAGTGAATAAATCAGAGAAAGACAAATACCATATGATTTCATTTATATGTGGAGTCCAAAACAGCAACAACAACAACAACAAAACAGATGCAGACTAATAAATACAGAGAACAAATGGCCTCTGGGGTGGAGGGAGATGGGCAAAATAGGTAAAGGAGATTAAGTGGCACAAACTTCCAGTTATAAAATAAGTAAGTCACAGGGACAAAAAGTACAGCATAGGGAATATAGTCAACAATATTGTAGTAACTTTGTGCGGTGACAGATGGTAACTACGTCATGATGAGCATTGTGTAATGTATAGAATTGTTGAATCACTATGTTGTATACCTGAAACTACTAGAACACTGTATGCCAACTATCCTTCAATTTAAAACATTCATAACATGTCAAATGATGAAATATGGCATATTATTATTTCCAAAAAAAGAAAGAAAAAAATTCTTACTAGCTTGTTCGCAAAAGATAAAAATTTGTATGCTATTTTGGGGAAATATAGAATCAAACAGTCTTCCCTTAGGGCTAAAATAGAGAATTATTTATTAGTTTCATTTATAGAGGTTTATTTAGTTAGAAATGATTTTACAGTTCTGCTTTACACTGCAGTGTTGTTGTTTTTTTTAACGGCTAAAATTAGTGTGGAAATCACAAGCCATCCTTTGCAATCCAACTTCCTCCTTTTAAATTCTGGTTTCCAAATACCTCTAATAAAAAGATTGGTAAGTTTAAGTACCAAATGAGATTGTGCAGATATAAGAAAACCATTGGAGATTTTTCATAAAAAAAAAAAAAAAAAAAAAATTGTAGGTCCCTAGGGGCGCCTGGGTAGCACAGTCGGTTAGGCATTCAACTTTTGGTTTCAGCCCAAGTCATGATCTCACAGTTTTGTGAGTTCGAGCCCCCATCAGGCTCTGAGCAGGCAGTGCAGAGCCTGCTTGGGATTCTCTCTCTCTGCCCCTTTCCCACTCGCACCCCTTACTGTCTCTGTGTCTCTCAAGATAAATAAATAAAGCTTAAAAAAAATTTTTTTTAATTTGTAGTTCCCCTATTGATTACCTTAGATATCTAAATAATGAAGATAATGCTGGTGTTTAATAATAGATTAAAATGTTAATACAAATAGTACCCCTTCCTAAAAACTTTTGTAGTTAAACAAAAAGGATAGACAACGTTTTTTAAATGTGCCAGTTTTTTAAATGTTTTCTAACACCTAAGTGAGACCAAAATTCTAATTAAGTAGGATGGAGCCCGAGATTAAAACAATTATTCAATAAAAGTGTTTCCCAAGTGTGAAATGTGAAATCATTTTAAATGGTAAAATGTCAAAATAAATCTTAACTATTTATTTTAATGTGGGTAGGAAACATTAACTAGTATTTTCAGACCCTTGATTTTTCAAATATTTTCATTTACAAAACCCTTAATTAGATATTTTTAACTTACTCGATTTAAAGAAAATTACTGGATAAATAACACTTTCGGTTGCTCTTGCATATGGCAAAAATTGTCATGATGCCTAAAAATTGCTACCAATGCCTGAAAGTCGACAGTTTTGCAATAAAGTAAGTATTCTTTCAGACTAATCAGTAAAAAAGATGCTGCCGAAGGGGGACAGAATACCAAACATCACTTAATTATTTTAAATTTGTTATAAAAACTTGACTTCCTATATTTTATCTACTAGATACCGCAGTGTGTATTTTAGGTTATCTGAAAGGCTATCATTTAGTTACCAACTCAGTAGAGTAGGTGGAATTTGCAAATTAATAGACAGCATTTTAACATAGTTTGAATCTTTACATTGTAAACCTCAGCAGGAGATTCCAGCAAGCAACACGTGTTTCTTTTACCTTAAACCTCCCTGAATAATTTGCAGGAACTCTATCCTAACATTTCTAATGGGATTCCCACAAGAGTAGTTTCATAAATGTAATTTCATCTTAGATACAGCCTTGGAGGAATATAATTATTCTTGATATTTAAGATACCTTAATCCTTTCAAGCAGTCTAGAACATCGGCCTCTTAGAGCTGCAGTGGCTTTAGTTTATGAGAAAGATCAGACCTGGAGGGTGTGTGGTTTATCTGAGATCACAGAACAAAGCCATGAATGAGTAGCAGACCCAGGAACAGAACTTCACCTCGTGTTCTGTCTACTGTTCCATAATAAGTAGGCTTTTAAAATGAACTGAGAGATAAAGGATGGTAAAATGTTTATACTCAATTTGCTTCTCCAAGTCTATTGTTGAGACATAGTGAGGATTTGAGAAATTAGCTCATCTTTTTATTTTTATTTGTGTTGGTCAAGGCTTACATTCATTCTTAGCAGATAGAGGACGTTTAACAAAACGTCCATTCCTGGAAGAAAACAGAAATAAAAATACTGCTTCAGTGGGGAATGAAACTCTAGCATTAATGAGATATAAACTTTGTCAGTATTGCAGTACGATGGATACCTTTTCCCAGTCTTAAGGTGACATGGGAATTTGCTGTTGGGTCCCCTGTGAGTTGATTCCGGTTTTCTCCTGCTATATATAAATTGGAGAAAAGATGCTCTTTTCCCCTGAAGGACATAGCGGGGTGACCCCGTCATGTCCATGTTGGCTCCCCTGCACAGAGCACCGGCTCCCTAGAGGTTGGAGAGAACGGAGCTTTGTGTCAGTTTCGGGTCGAGGCTTCATTTGCTTGACAGGCTGCTTTCCTGCTGTGCAGTTACAGTGTCTAAAGTTGCCAGTAATTGATGACTTCGTGCTTTTTGCTTCTAAAATCATTCTTTTGCTTCCTTATAGATCAAAGGTCCACCATCAAAACACCAAAGACTCAAGACACAGAAGATGATGAGGGGGCTCAGTGGAATTGTACTGCCTGTACTTTTTTGAACCATCCAGCCTTAATCCGCTGTGAACAGTGTGAGATGCCAAGGCATTTCTGAGCCAAAAGGCCCTATATCTCTAAAACCACATCTGAAGTTCAAGAAACTAGTCTGTCATCAGGGGAAAAGTTTCACTGCTACATAGGATTTTGTCAAATTGAAGGTGTGACAGGATGGTGTTGTGCTAATGGTAAATGTCAGCCCACAGAGCTAATAATACCTCAGTCTAATGTCATGGGCAGTTGAAATTCATCACATGAAAGGTAATCTGCTGAAAGACTTGGTTGCCCGCTGCCTAACCATGTACAGTGTTACCAGTAGCCCGTTATGGATAATTCTCAATCTATTAATGCCTAGGTGTTCCCAGTACCTTTTCCCCCTCATGTCACTACTGAATTTTGACAGGAGGAAGGAATAGAACGATGGCTTTTTTTTTTAAAGCTTTCGGTGAAACACTACAAACATGAAGAAAAGGAACAAGGTTTAACTATTTAAAAACTGTTTGCTGCCGCATGGTGCCAATGGATGGGGGAAGAACTTCATGAATCTGTGGTACTCTTGGCCTTGTCTTTGTCTTCCCTGAAAACGTCTCCACTCTGTGAAGCCAGCATCTGGGCTCTAAAGATGAAAAGGAAAGCAGCATGCATTGTCTGTACAAACATGCAGTGAAATATCCCAAAGCTTTTCCTACTGTACAGATCTCTCGAGTCTGCTTTAAGTGATTTCTTTTCTTCTTTATTATTTTCTTATATTTCTATATGTATAGTGTAATAGTCTTTTGTTAACTAATTTTCTTTTTTCCTTTTAGTGATTAAGCACGATCATGTCCCTTTTTAAGCCTTACCTGAGAGAAGCAATGCCTTAAAATAAAAAAAAAGCATTAATGAAATGAAGCTGTGCACAAAATAACCTTCCTCTACTCACTCTGTACTTTGCCCTCATGAGTGCCGATGTTCTGTGAAGACATTCAGATGCTGCCCAGTGAATTGCAGGAAATATTCCAAGACTTACGTCGATAAGTCACACTATCTGTACTGACTTCGGCAGTGGGTGGCACAACGGTGTTTGATCTCCCACAGGGAAGCTTAAAACAAAAGGTATTTTTAACCCACTGACAGAGCAACAAGGTTGAGCTTGCTCCATCTGCCTGGTGTCCCACAGAACTCTCACGGGAGATTACGATCGGGAAAGTACAGTTTGCAAAACCAGCAACAGCGGCCGTACCTACAGCCCTGGTGTGGGGAGAAGTTTAAATGCTTTACTGTTGGGGCAGTCCATTTCTAAACCTGACTTGGTGGCAGTATCATGCGTATTTATAAAACGAGGCTAGTCATATTTAGGACAACTGAAGGAAAGCTGGAAAAAAGAAAAACAAGCAAACTTGAACACTGAAGCAACCTCAAGCATCTCTTTATTTTGATGATCTATTTTTATAAGGAAAATAAATATTCAGATGATCGGGAATGTATATAACTAAATGAAATCAAGAAAAAGAAATAACAGTATGCATTTAAGAGCAGAATTATGAAATTATCTATCAGTGCTTAGAACGGGGCTAAGGGAAGTGCTGAAATGTAGCAAAAAGGTAGGAGATAATGTTGACTGTCACCCACTGTAAATGTCTGCAAATGGATATTTTTTAAATAGGCAGGATTATTACAGGTGATCTGTATGAATGTCAGAGCCTCGACTTCCGGGCTTTGCATCTTGTATATGGGAAGAAATAGGACAATCCTAGTTAATTAGCCCATAGACCCAAAGCCCTTACGTTTGATACGTTTTGTTTTAAAACTAGGCCTTGTTTTTCAGCTTCATCTGCAGTTCTATGTGAAGATTGATAAATCAGTTTTTACTTGTTTTATTAATAAAACGTAATTTGGATATCTTGAGTTGATGGTTTTGTGATTTAGCTGGGTAAACTATCTTTGTAACAGATAAGTTATTTATAAAAATTAAAAAACTTATATTCTAATGTGGATTTTGTGACTTGTTTTTGAAGTTTGTGGGACAGAAGACAGTTTCTACCCCAGCCGAACATTTGATAGTTAATTGAAATCAGAGAGAACTCATTCCCTAGAGTCTTCTCGTGACAGATGGCATTCAACTGCATCTCTTGGACGATTTTTCGCCATTTCCTCAGGCTTCTTAACTAATGAAAGAAAGCGACCCTGTTTCAACTGAGCCAAAAACAATGTAATACTGCTTCTTTTTCGTCATTACTGCTTTTCCTTTCATTTCTTTTTGGGTTTTTACCGTTTACCTCATTGGAAGCGTGATATCTTGGGCCATTAGGCTGGAGGAGTCACTTAGTATCTACTTTATCCCATAATGTGTAGGTGCTGGGGATCCCAGTGGTGCTTCTCTTGAAGAGAATCTCTATATTAAGACTTTCCGAAAACTATAAGTTGGTTTTTCTGAGTATGAAAAAAAGAAAGTAGCGTTTGCTGATCTCTTTATGTCGTAACCGTAGAAAGCCCTGCCTTGCCTCGATTTGTGTTTTAAACCTAGTGAGACAGAAATACCCTTTGCCAAGGAATATGAGGCCTGGACTTGCTGGTGGTCTGGAAACCACCTTCAAGAATTACTGCACTAAAATAGAATTACGGACACTAAGAACCTCAGATGGAAAGATGGACTTCTGTTTCTCATCACTGTTATCCTTGGGTGTTGACGTTCTCTTATTTAAAGGTGAGGTGGGCAGTTAGTTCGGGGAGTCTGGATTTCTCAGAAAAGCTTATATTAACACAATAGTGGCCAGTATATGCTCTTATAACTAATACATTATGCAAAGATGTATGTCATATTGCAGGTTTTTGTGAAAGTATGAAAATTAATTTCTCTTTTAAAATTTACATTTACTTAAAAAATTTTTTTTTTTTTTTTTTACATTTATTTATTTTTGAGAGACAGAGAGACAGCGCGAGCAGGGGAGGGGCAGAGAGAGAGAAGGAGACACAGAATCAGAAGCAGGCTCCGAGCTCCGAGCTGTCAGCACAGAGCCCGACGCGGGGCTCAAACCCACGAACCGTGAGATCATGACCTGAGCTGAAGTCAGACGCTCAACCCACTGAGCCACCCAGGCACCCCCCATTTACTTTTTTAAGTGACCAATCTAGATGAATCTGCAGTCTAATATTGACTTTATATTGGAGAATTGAAATTGTGCACAGAATCATATCCATAGGTAGTCAAAACTATGTTGGTTATTAACTTTAAACGTATTTTAAAGCATTTTTAAAGCGCAGACTTCCCTGACATTTCATCATACCTCTATCCCAGTTAAATGTTGACGGGACAGTCCAGTGAGCGGTGATGGGTTTAAGAAGTGAATGGTGTAAGCTATAATATTCAGTCCCTCAGTGATTGAAGTTGGCTGTATTGCCTTAGAAAATGATGTTAAATCTGTAGTGGCACTGAAGGCCGTTCCAGATTTAATACCTTCATGCTGGGTGTTAGCATAACTTCCCTTATGATATTACAAAATACTTCTATTTCTCTGTGACAAACATATTTTTGACTCCAGTTTTTAGAAGCTACAATTATTATATCCATGTTACTTGAAGATGAAATGGTTTGAGGCTGCATTTTAGTTTTTATTGCTTCCATCTGAAGTAAAGCAACTGAGAGAAAAGACTTCTAAAGAAAACACAATTTTGTAGCTTTATATTTGTTAAAGGAGGATTTTCCAACCCTCAGTATGCAATAGACTGGGTTTGTTTTTTTGTTTTGTTTAAGAGAATGTAGTTAATCATACAGAAATGATTGCTGTAATACCTTGTCTTTACAACTATAAATCTCTTCCTATATTCTAGGTTCAAAAATAGAACTGCCCTGTTATAATGGTTGATTGACTTACCTAGTTCTTTAGAAAGGTTGTAAAAGCACTTGGAGGCTATTGATTTTTTTAATTTCGGTATAGTTAACATACAGTGTTCTATTAGTTTCAGGGATAAAATATAGTGAGTTAACAACTCTATACTCTGTGCATTTGCATTTTTAGCACTATGGCACCTTGTTCCCTAGACCCCTCATCTTAAGAGTCAGGCCAGTTGAGGTCCAATTCTGGCATCTCCCTAGATTTACCCTGTGACCCTAGGATAGTTCCTTGCTTTTATTTCCCTGCCTTGTTAAATGAAGATAATTATATTAATTATGTTAAGCCTGCCTCACAGGAGTGCTGAGAGCCTTAAGGTGAAACTATCTGAGCCAACCCCTTCTCACTAGGAACTTCCCTATCCTTAAGCAGTGGGTCATGTTTTTGAATGGGTTTTGATGCATTTTTCTCATCAGTGTGAATGAATGAAACGGTAAGTTTGCTATTATTTGTCTGAAGTGGCCTAGGGACATCACGGTGGACCAGAATTTGGGATTTTGGTCACTGCGATTAAATTACTTCTTGCCCTTTAATGTCAAAATTTACTTGTTTTGCCAAGATTATCAAAGGCTAACCTGAAGATCAAGTGTGTTTATATTTCTGTTGTGTGTCCAGCTATCTAAAGAACGTGTATTTTATGGTGGAGTATGACATGATTTCTCCAGGAAAATAAACACTTTCTTCAAAGGACTTACTCCAGTGTTTGCACATTTGCATATTTGTCTCAAGGCTGAAACTGACCGAAGGTACACGTCATTCTAGCCTCTCTCTTTACCAATCCCCTACTTTACCTCCTTTTTTTCCCCTTTAGGGCAGGAATACATCCTCCCTCTGACCCAAACTATATTCCAAAAGTGTTTATTGACCCTCATAGCACAGTGGGCAAACACTAAAATATTTCTGCCATGGAAATGCTTTCCAGAGATTTTTAAAAGAAAAAAAAAAAAACCAAAAAACCAGACTGCCATTCCCACCTGTGAGCCCACCCGTCATTTCTTACAGCTAAGTGCCTTTTCACACCGCTCTTCCTGGTTCTCCTGCCTCCTGTTTCTTACTCTTCCTTGCACTGTGCAGCCAGGGTTAGAGGTAACACCATGCCCATGCTCCCCTGTTTAGAAATCTTTATTGTTTCCTGACAATAAGCTGACTGGGTTTACTTGTAAAATTCTGTAGCTTGTCTTCAGGA